TGTCACCCTGCTCCACCAGGGCTCTGCTAGCTCAGGAAAACACCTGAGCCGGTGTTTTCCAGCAATGGAGCAGCACAAAGTCATTTACTGTTTCTTCATCAGAAAAGCACTTTGGAGAGTCCAAGAGTCTCAGGAAAAGGTTTCAGGGCAGTGACGTCTTCTCCTTGCCACAGCATCACCTCTGGATGTCCCTACAGAGRGCCTTGACCTGCAAACTGGAACCCTCCAAGCAGAACTTCAGTGCAAAAACACTGGGAAAAAACAGTGTTTTGAGGGTAACTGTTTGTCAGCTGGCAGAGATACAGCAAATGATTTTTCTTTGTTTAGAGAAGCAAAGGAAAGCCCTGGAGATGGTGATGGTGGCTCAGGCAGGGCCATCAAACCCATCCAGAGCTTCGTCTCTCACAGCGACCGCAGGCGCTCACCTGAGGAGAAGTGAGAAAAGCAAACACGACACTTCCTCCCCAGAATCTCTCATTTCCTCAGAATTTTCCATTCAGGGAACTCTCTGGKCCAGCTGTGGTTTGGGTTTGTCCTGTGATATCCAACATTCTGTCTGTCCCAAGCCACCCCACTGCCCTGTTCACGCCCTGCACCAGCGCTGGTCCCTTGTGTTTGGTTCTTCTGGACAAGGAATTCCAGGGGTCAGCTGGCCCAGACAAAACCCACCTACTTTGTTCCTTRCAAACCTGTGCCCCATGTTTTTCTGAACAAACCACAGAGGCTCCCTTGTTTAGCTGGTACAAGAGCAGTTTGTTTTTTCCACATGGTTTGAGTGCTTTGTTTGTATTTCAAAGTCTCCATCTTTCTGCCTTTTTTTTTGTGTGTGTGTACAGCTGAAGACTGAACGTTTGCCTACACAAGAGAATTGTTCTGATGCACTCAAAAGAGTGTGAATTCCTTTTTGGAAGAGATATTCGAAATTTTTTTCCAGAGTGTTTGCTGGTGGGAAGGACAAAATCAGCAAAACAGCAATGACAGCAATGCTCCAGCTGAGGCAGAAATTTTTGTTTGTACAATCTGGAAAGTGAAAAATCCAAGAAACATCCCCAAGGACCCCCATCATTTTTCAGCATCAAGCTCTGATTCAGCTCTGTAAGTTGGAGATATTTCACCATTCTCCTCGTACTCCTGAGACAGGAGAAAAGAAAGCATTGGGCTGTCACTCAGAACACTGATATAAAAAAAACCTTATTTTACACTCAATGTTCTGTATATGATCAGGCATTTATTCCCAATTCTAGGGAGAGCTGCTGGGAAGATAATGCACACAAGCTCTCTGCATGAGGAATGGGTTTGGCACAACTTTCAAGGAAACTCAGGTTGAAATAATGGCATCATTTCTGTGTCACCACGGGAAGGAGGATTTTTCTGTTTAGGACAGATCAATGGGCTGCAGTTTCATCCCTGGGAAATTATTAATTATTRTGATAGACCCATTTTTCTTTTCCCCAGAATTTTTTCAGAAATACTCTTTCTGTGATGCTTCATCTCTYGCAGGGACTGTTTTTTTTCTGAGCTCAGTGGGTTTTTTTTTGACTGTGTTTTAATGCATGCATTCAAACTTTCCCATTGGTACTGGAATGTGTAAACAGTCTGTCACATGGAATAATTTAATAATAAAACCTGCCTCATGACCCAGTGCTTCTCAACCTAAGGAACTTGTAGGGGAAAAGGGCAGAGAGGAGGATCTGTGTAACTACAGGGACGGAGTTGTGGGGGCTCTAAACACAGATGCTGAAAYGCACAGAAACCTGAGAGAAAAGGACAAATTATTTCCATCTTCTCACCACAGGATTATCAGACAAATTCTTACAGAAATTTATCTATTTACATCACCACATCCTACCTTTTGCTTTTTATTGGAAACATCCAAGGTCTATTGTTGCCAAAACCGGGGTAAGAACAATAAACAGCTTTTTGGGTTTGTTTTTTTTTTTTTTTTTTTGGTGAATGGTTTTGTAGTAGGAGCTGGAAAAACCACATGATCCATAATTAATCACTTCTGGCCAAAACATGGGAGCTTCATCACTAAAGTCCATGGGTGATTTCAGTCAAACAGAGAAACAAAGTTTATATTGCACGGGGAAAAGGAAATGAGAAAAACCTGGATTCCTAAGTTATACTGGGAATCCCATAAATTAGTGGAAACTGGTAACTGGTTTTGACTTAATTATGCAAGTAATTATCCCACAATAGCTGCTGGCAGAGATATCTCATGAGCTGGTTCTGAGGAAATTCCTTTGGAAGATGAGATTGGGTGAAGCGAGTAATTTTTAGACAGAGATGTCACAATGATCAAATCATCCTTCCTAAAAAGGGCTTTGGAAAATAAACTCTTGTCCTCAGAACTCTCCAGAAAGGGAAGCACTTGTGATTTGCTTCGAAATGTGAGGAGGAATTAGCTCGGGAATTTCCTTATGGGCCTGCAGCAGGAAGTGATTCCTGCTCATTGAGGATTTCTCAGAAGCAGGAAATAATAAAAGATTCAAACTTGCCAAAGCGGTTGATGAAGGTGTTCTCCTTGGCTCTCTCTGCATGGATCTGAGGCACAACAGAGCCTGTATACACATTTCCTCTGGGAAAAAAAAAAAACAAAACCTTTTTTTATTGCTTTTTGATTAAAAAGTGGTGCAGGCAGTAGTTTGCTGTTCCTGCAGATGAGTAAAAGCAAATTTATTCCACGAGAAAGTTCTTTCCAAATGAATCCAGGTGCACTTACAGACCCAGGATGGTATTGATGAAAATACAGAAAGGACCTCAGAAATTGTGCTTGTWACAGCAATAATCAAATTCTTAAGAGGAAAAAAATCCTCATAAATCATCCAGTGGGAATTTATCAAGGACACTCCCTAGGATGTGATCCAAACAGTGACACAGGAGTAAATTTGCTATGAGAAGACCCCACAAATGSCACTTTGGAGCAGGAATTCCAAAAGTGCCGGCCTGGAGATTGGAAAAGCTGCTGCTCTGATTTTATAACAGTGTCTGTGCCTGAACACAATGAGGGAAAAAGTGCTAATTCCTCGTCCAGATGGGCTGAACCAGGAGAGAACTGCAAACACTGCCCTGGGCAGCAGAGCCAGCCATGGGCTGCTGGGGGATGTGGGCACTCAGGAGGAGTGGCAGAGGCATTTCCTCCTTTCTCTGCAGAGGAGGGATGAGTTCCTGCATCACCCACAGGACCTGAGCAGAGCAGGAAAAATGAGTGTCCAGGTGATTAAAAGCCTCCCAGCAATAGGAGCTGGTCCCAGCAGCACATCCCAAAATTGTCTGAGGCGGGAACATGAAATCCCCTTATGGGATCGCTGTAGGAATGTCGTGGTCCTAGTGACAGCCTGATATTGGAGGTAAATATAATAAAAGCCCTGTGTATGCAATAATATAAATATATAATAGAAAAAAAGTAATAAAAATAGATAATAAATAAATAAATATATATATATATATATATATATATATAAAATAAAATAAAATATAATAAAAGTTAGGTATCCAAACCCAGTGAAAGGAGTTCACTGTGTGTTAAATAAGTAAGGCAGGGTTGTGTTTTAAAGGTTTTCCTGGCTGTCTGGGCACAAATAATGGAGGTTTTCTTTGCCTAAGTTGCCTGCTCACGATGTACAAATAATTACCAGGTTTGGGGTGAAATAGTTGCTTTGCAGACAGAGAGTGAAGTGATCCTGATGCGATCCTGTGCGGTTGGAGTGATTCTGTTTGGCTTTTTCCTGGGACACTCAACAATGTTTCAGTGAATGGATCTGCCCCAGAGRCACAGGCAGGAAAGAAACTGGAATCCAAAATGATTCAGCAGGTTTGTGAGATTTTAAGGAATAATTAAATACGCAGATTTCCCCAAACCTGATCTAATCCGAGCTGTGTCCAGTTCAGACTCCCCAGTTTTGGTGGCCATGTTTGTGACACAGCACAAAAGGAATGGAAATAAACAYGTTTCATGATTCTTGATAGAACCCTTAATGAGAGTACAAAATGTTTCTTGGTGCTCCTCATGCTTTGGCATAAGTTGATTAAAGCAAGAAAAATCTATTCCCCCTGAAGAAAAGGAAGAGGTTTGAAACATGTGCAGAATAGGTGGAGACCAAATTAAAAATCTTTATATTTCATTGAATTTCAGATCAAATTTGGAAGTAGTTGCTCAGAGAATAAAACCCATGAAGCGAGGGCATATGGCAACAGTTTCTAGGGCATCTGGTGTGATTCTCTAAGTTTAGAAAAAAGCGGGGCCGTCCCTGTCATTGGTTATTTGGTGAAATGCCACGGACATTCCAGTTCTGCCAGGCTGCACCCAGAAACTGAGGCTTTTAAATTAAGTGTAACATAGCATGTAGCAAGTTATTTCTGTTCTGTGCTAAGAGTGTCCATGTGCACTTTTCCCATCAGCAAATAAATCTTAATTCRAGTTAATTAGCTGGCTTCCATTCTTGTGAAATAAAACACATTACATGTGCTTACACAGACAGACTTACAAGTACATAGATATATTGRGGTGGAAGTTTTAATACACATTTATTTCCCATATGTGTAAATTTGCAGCTACGGGAATAACATTTATTAAAAACAATATGATTAATACTTGGGCGTCTTATTGAATGAATGTATTGGGATTTTATGTTGACATGATTTATGTGGTGTTTTTCTGAGCGTGTGAAGATGTGAATTGATATGAGAGGATGCCATGGGCAGATGTTTCTGTACCYGGGGATTTGTGAACATTTTGTGTGCAATGTGAGTAAATGAAAATGAGCAGGTCTATTATTTTAGGAATAATCGATGACACTGATGACATAAAACCCTGGTAAAAGTCTGTTGTGTACGTGTTGGATGCCCTAATTAGTGGAAGAGGCTTGAGTGTTTCTTGCACTTTTTATTGAGGATATTTGTGTTGAAATATTGAAATACTGAAGGGTATTTCTATAGGCACATAAAGATACCCTGCAGAGTGCAGGGGGGCAGGGCATCCTGTGGGTCCTGTGTGATGCTCACTCGCTCAGGGTGGCCTCACACGCCTGTGACTGGGGCTGTGAGCGGCAGGAAGGGGAAAGGTGCSTGGAGGAGGGCACACGGCTGCGCCTTTCTTTGTTGTGGTGGAGGAACAACGATTCTGGGGCTGGGCGCAGGAAGAGCGTGGGGCAGGGGCGGCCGAGAGCAGCGGGGAGAGGGTTCCCCGGGCTCTGGGACGCAGTGGTGGCTGATTTTGGGACATGGTGGTGGCTGTGTTTGGGACACATTGGTGGCTGTGCTTGGCACACGGTGGTGGCTGTGTTTGGCACACGGTGGTGGCTGTTTTTGGGACACAGTGGTGGCTGTGTTTGGCACACGGTGGTGGTCGTGTTTGGCACACGGTGGTGGCTGTGTGGGCACACGATGGTGGCTGTTTGACACACGGTGCTGTCTGTGCCCTGTGACACGGTGGTGGCTGTGTTTGTGACACGGTGGTGGCTGTGCTCTGGCACATGGTGGTGGCCGTGTTTGGCACACGGTGGTGGCTGTGCTTTGCACACGGTGGTGGCCGTGTTTGGCACATGGTGGTGGCTGTGTTTGGCACACGGTGGTGGCTGTGCAGGCACACGGAGGTGGCTCTGTGGGCACACGGTGGTGGCTGTGTTTGTGACACAGTGGTGGCCGTGTTTGGCACACGGTGGTGGCCGTGTTTGGCACATGGTGGTGGCTCTGCGGGCACACGGTAGTGGCCGTGCTGATCCAGGTGAAGGGAGGCAGCGATGGAAGCAGGGATGGAGGGTCACCGTCCTGCTGCTGCCGGACCGGGGTGACAGGAGCTGGCCGGAGGGAAGGTNGTGTTTGGCACACGGTGGTGGCTGTGTGGGCACACGATGGTGGCCGTGTTTGGCACACGGTGGTGGCTGTGTTTGGCACACGGTGGTGGCTGTGCCCTGGCACACTGTGGTGGCTGTGTTTGGCACATGGTGGTGGCTGTGCTCTGGCACACGGTGGTGGCCGTGTTTGGCACACGGTGGTGGCCGTGTTTGGCACATGGTGGTGGCTGTGCTCTGGCACACGGTGGTGGCCGTGTTTGGCACACGGTGGTGGCTGTGTTTGGCACACGGTGGTGGCCGTGTTTGGCACACGGTGGTGGCTGTGCTCTGGCACACGGTGGTGGCCGTGTTTGGCACACGGTGGTGGCTGTGCAGGCACACGGAGGTGGCTCTGCGGGCACACGGTGGTGGCTGTGTTTGGCACACGGAGGTGGCTCTGTGGGCACACGGTGGTGGCTGTGTTTGGCACACGGTGGTGGCTGTGTTTGGCACACGGTGGTGGTTCTGCGGACACACAGTGGTGGCTGTGTTTGTGACACAGTGGTGGCCGTGTTTGGCACACGGTGGTGGCCGTGCTGGTCCAGGTGAAGGGAGGCAGCGATGGAAGCAGGGATGGAGGGTCACCGTCCTGCTGCTGCCGGACCGGGGTGACAGGAGCTGGCCGGAGGGAAGGTGTGGGTGTGTTTCCATGGTTCACACTGGGGGGATACCGCGTGTGTGTGTGTGTGAGTGTGAGTGTGAGGGAAGCCTGTGCAGGCGGATGTGCGAGAGAAAGAGAGGAACCGGTGTGTGCGCGGTGAAAGCGGTGCGGTTTGGGAGAGCTGATGTGCGTGAGTGACAGGAACCGGGGTGTGCGGGGAGAGCCGGTGCGTGTGTGTGTGTGAGAGAGAGAGAGAGAGAAAACAGAGAATACCCCTCTGTGTGTGTGTGTGAGAGAGAGAGAGAGAGAACAGAGAATACCCCTCTGTGTGTGTGTGTGAGAGAGAGAGAGAGAGAACAGAGAATACCCCTCTGTGTGTGTGCGTGTGTGAGAGAGAACACCTGGTGTCTGTGTGTGTGTGTGTGTGAGAGAGAGAGAGAGAACAACCGGCGTGTGTGAGAGCCGGTGTGTGTGTGTGTGTGTAAGGGAGCCCCCGCTGTATGTGTTTGTGCGTGTAAGGGATCCCCCGGTGTGTGCGTGTCTCTTGTGTGTGTAAGGAACCCCCCGATGTGTCTGTGCGTGTCTCTGTGTGTGTAAGGGATCCCCCAGTGCGTGTGTGTCAGGGAGCCCCCGGTGTGTCTGTGCGTGTCTCTGTGTGTATAAGGGACACCCTGCTGCGTCCGTGTCTCTGTGTGTGTAAGGGATCCCCCGGTCTGTGCCTGTCTCTGTGTGTGTAAGGGACACCCCGCTGTGTGTGTGTAAGGGATCCCCCCGGTCTGTGCGTATCTCTGTGTGTGTAAGGGATCCCCCGGTCTGTGCGTGTCTCTGTGTGTGTAAGGGACACCCCGGTGTGTGTATAAGGGATCCCCCGGTGTGTGTGTAAGGGATCCCCCGGTCTGTGCGTGTCTCTGTGTGCATAAGGGATCCCCCGGTGTCTCTCCGCGTGTCTCGGTGTGTCACGGAGCCCCGAGCCCGCCGCAGCGCTGACGAGAACCAGCAGGTGCTGCCGCACCGCCGCGCTCCCCCGGCGCTCCCCGGCCCCGCCCCGGCCGGGGGCTCTCTCGCTCAGCCGCGGGCGGAGCAGCCGCCGAGAGGGCCCGGGATCCTCCTCCGCTCCGACGTCAGGCTGGGAGCGGGAGGCAGCGCCCAGCGCCGCCGTTGCCAGAGACTCGGCGGCGGCCGGACGGGGCGGACGGCGGGGCGGCGACTCCCGGAGCGGCGGGGGGTGGGGAGGAGGCGCTATGGCCGACGTGTTCCCGGGCTCCGAGCCCGGCGCCGACCCGGAGGCGGCGCGGCGCTTCGCTCGCAAGGGCGCCCTGAGGCAGAAGAACGTGCACGAGGTGAAGGAGCACAAATTCATCGCGCGCTTCTTCAAGCAGCCCACCTTCTGCAGCCACTGCACCGACTTCATCTGGTGAGAGCCCTGGGGCGCGCGTTCCCCCCTCGCCCGGGCCCGCTCCGCTCCGCCGCGGGGGATTCCCGGCTCCGGTGAGCCGCCGGCCCTGCCCTGCCCTGCTCTGCCCTGCTTTCCATTCCCCGCAGATCTCCGCGGGGTTGGCCAGGTGACCCCGCCGGGGTGACCCCCAGTGTCACCCCGCTGCCCCGGCGCTGTCGCATCCCCTCCCGGCGGGCTCTCGGGGGGCTCCGGGAAGGGAGATCCCCCAAACAGCGGGGTCCGGAGAACCGCGCAGGGGCTATCGCTTCCCGCACGCTCCAGAGCTGGGTTTGCTCACCCCTCGTCCCCGCGTTCCAGGCACAGGGACGGAGGGTGCCCGTGTCACAGCGGGGACACGCTGGGTGCCCAAAGTTGGCTCACGCAGCTCTGAGCCCCGCTCGGTGTGTGCCCCGCTCCCTCCGCAGCCCAGGGCGGGCAGCGAGGCCGGCCAGGCACCGTGACACCGCCGCGCCGAGGAAAGGGAGGGGTGCTTTTTGTGAGAGAAGCGTTCCTGCTCGAGAGGGCAGGAAAACTCCCTACCGAMACCCTCCTTACTGAGCTGGCAGGGAAAAATACACCCAAGGTTTGGTGCCGTGCCGGGGCAGGGCGGCAGCTCCGCGCAGGCCGGGCCGCTCTGTGCTCGTTCCGCGCTGGTTCAGCGCTCGTTCAGCGCTCGTTCCTCGCTTTTTCCGCGCTTGTTCTCCCTCGTTCCGCGCCCCGTGCAGGAGCCGGAGGAGCCTCGGGGTTCTGAACCTGCAGGAGCCGTGCAGCACAAACAGATCGGGGCTGTTCCTTCACCTGGCCCCAACCCGGCTCCGCTGCTCACGTTTGCTCTGCAGCTCTGCAAAGGAGAGCTGTGATTGATTCTGGCCGAAGTTGGGAGAGGTCAGGATGGGTCTGCACGCAGCTGGCGCCGTGTCCGTGGCACGCTTCTTGCTCTTTTTATGAGTGTTTATGTGTCTGGACTCGGACCTTTTCCTTCCTCCGTCAGTTTTCCTCTGTTCCCATGCTGAAGCGGAGACTGTGCTTGTGCCAGAAATGACTGAAATATATTTGCAGAGTAAGGAGAGAAAGTTGAGATTTGTAGACTGCAGAAGAAACAAGCCAACTTTCTGAGTTCGCATTTTCTTCTCTTTTTA